TCTACATAGTAAGTTCCAAGTCAGCCAGGGCTGCATAGTGAGACCCTGTCTCAAAAAAATCAAAAACAAAAATCAAGAGGAGGAAGGAGGGAGGGGGGAGGGGAAGGGGAAAGAGAGGGGGGAGGGGGGAGGAGGAGGAAGAGTTGTTTCTATGAAGAGGTAAAGGGACCGGGGTAGCCAGAAGAGTCTTGGTGGGCCGAGCCCCTCTCATGGTGAGGCCAGAGCATGGACTGTGGGCTGAGCCCCCATCTCACAGTGAGGCTGGAGCCTGGACCGAGCCCCTCTCCTGTGGTGTGGGTGGGGCAGCCGCCACCAGAACAGAATAGAGAACTGAGACAGAGCCACATAGATGCAGCCAACTGAGTGATGGTTTGTTTAGAGACAGCCTCCCTGTGTAGCCCAGGCTGGCCTGAAACTTGTAATCTATAGCCTCAGTTGCTGAGTGTCAAGCTTGCCATGCCCAGTGTTGTGCTAATTTTTTTTTTTTTTCTGATGAGACGTGAGTTCAGGGTTCATTTTCCACCAGTGGGTGCCCAGTCATGCCAACATGTTTGTGGGGAAAAGAGGCTCTCTGTGCTCCACTGAACTATTTCTGCCTTCAGGGAAGCTCCGCTGAGCCTGTGTGGGGTCTGTTTCTGGGTTCTCTGTGCTGTCCACCGAGCTCCGTGCCTGTCCTTCACCACTTCCTCCAACGCTGTAGCTTTATGAAGCTTGGGGTAGGTAGGCGGACAGTAAGATGTTTGTGATCTTAGTTTCTTTTCCTGTTGCTGTGATAAAATACTCTGACACTTTAACTTACAGGAGGAAGGATTTATTTTGGCTCACGGTTCAGGGGTGTGGTCCATCTTGGAGGGAAGTCTTGGCAGCAAAATGGTCATGTTGCGTCAGCAGCGGAAGACAAACGCTCGTGTTCCGCTCATTCCTCCTTTTTTTTTTCATTTTCTCCTTTTATTCAATCCAGAACTCTGGCCCATAGATGGTGCCACCCACAATTAAGGTGCGTTTTCCACCTCAGTTGACACAGTCTAGATAACCCCTCATAGGAATGCTAGGAGCCTGTCTCCCCGATGACTCTGCCAGTTCACGGTGAGCAGTAACTGTCACACTCGCCACCCTGGGTGGGCCGTGTAAACAGTCCTAGAGAAGGTTTGCCTGGGGTCCACCTTCACGTCCATCACCACCAAGCGAGATGAGTGAGATCCCTGTCAGAGTCTCCCCAACAACTGGAATGTGTTTAGTTTCCTGCCACACTGACCTCCTGCCACTGGAGTCTCGTCAGGCCCGTGTGCTGCAGCAGTGACTGCTAACTCAGTGTTGGGTCAGATTTGGGCTGCAGCTGAGCCAGCTTGAAGGCTGAAGAAACCTGGGCCCCCGCCACCTGCTGGGTCCCAACCACCTGGTGGGCAGGTCTCCGAGAAGTGCACGGGCTTCTCCCTGGTCCACAGAACCCCTGGCATGAGGCAGATTTTTTCATACATATTTTTCCCTCTTCATTTGCCCAATATAGTACCTACCTTTTCTCTGGGGATTGCCTTCTCAGTTCTGGCTTTTGAGACAAAGTCCTCCTGTATAGCTCAGGCTAGTCTGAAACTCACAATCCTCCTACCTCAGCCTGCTGAGTGCTGGGATCATAGGCAAGCTCCTCATATCTGGTGTTTGTTCTGTCAATGTGTGGGAGTCATAGAAGTGTGGAATCTGGATTGGGCCTTCTGCAAATGAGATCTGGGCACATCGTGAATGAGAGCAGAGACTGGAGATATGCATGACTGCACATTGCCCAGGGTGGCCATGACACCTGTGTAGAACATTCTGGAGACCATGCTTTGGGGACTGGATAGACTAATAAGCAATGCTGTTTCCAGGACACATCTTTAAGCAGAGTGTAGTAAGAGGCCAACTTCGAGGCTGTTCCTCCTCCTCACTTTCTTCCCACAGCTTCTAAGGCTGGCTGGCTGGGGCTCCTATCCCTGCTGCTGTGCTGGGAGGTGAGGAGCTAGAGGCCAGGCTGCTGCCCCAGGAGGTAGCGTCCCACCAGGCCTCCGAACAGGCTCCACAACAAGCAAGTCCAAAGCCCAAAGAAGATTCCCCTCCTCCTTCTGCTCTACCCAGACAAACTCTGTCTGGCTGTGTTCTGTGGGGTCAGACTGTGGCGCGGGGTGGCCTCTTGTGACCTGCTGTTCCGATGGCAGAACCCTCTGGCCCAAGTGGGACTGGTAGGGTCATGGGTTCCTGCCCGTGGTGTGCAGGCCCTCAGGCTGTGCTGATACATCGGTGTGGCCCTGGGCTGCTTCTGTGTGTGGTTCTAGTCTTAAAGGTTCCCCCAGAGCTTGTATGCTGCAAGATCGATTCCCTGCCGATGGCACTGTTGGGAGACAGCAGAACTTTCAGGCAGTAGAGCTTAGAGGAAGGGCATCAGGTCATTAGGGGAATGCCCTGGAAGGAGACATTTGCTTTCCAGCCGCCATGAGGAGGGCAACTTTGCCCCACCACATGCTCCCCTGTGGCAGTCTGCTTCTCAGAGGCCCCTAAGCAGTGGAGCCAACCAGCCATGGACTGAACCCTTCACACTGTCAACCAGGTGAACCTTGAAATTGATCATCTCATCTCAGGTGTCTTTTGCAGCCATGCAGAGACCGACCAGCACCTCCCTCTTGGCCTTCTGCTCAGTGACCAGCCAGTGTCCCACTCCCAGGTTGGCGCCTACTCTACATGGTAGCAGCTGCCAGCAGGGCCTGCAACTGGGTTAGACGTGCTAGACCTGTGCACCAGCTTTCTTAGATGCCGATTCTAGAAAAAGCAGTGGTTTGCTGTGTTGGGGAGTAGATGTGCCCTTGGTCACCTCTGGTGTTTTAAAGGCCACTTGGTACTCCGTCCCTGTCCCCTGTGCTTCTGTGCGGTGCTGCTTCTCCACCGCGGTTTTCAGGTCTTCTGTGCGGCACACTGCTTCTCCATCGCGGTTTTCAGGTCTTCTGTGCGGTGCTGCTTCTCCATCGCGGTTTTCAGGTCTTCTGTGCGCTGCCAGCAGGGCCTGCAACTGGGTTAGACGTGCTAGACCTGTGCACCAGCTTTCTTAGATGCCGATTCTAGAAAAAGCAGTGGTTTGCTGTGTTGGGGAGTAGATGTGCCCTTGGTCACCTCTGGTGTTTTAAAGGCCACTTGGTACTCCGTCCCTGTCCCCTGTGCTTCTGTGCGGTGCTGCTTCTCCATCGCGGTTTTCAGGTCTTCTGTGCGGCACACTGCTTCTCCATCGCGGTTTTCAGGTCTTCTGTGTGGCACACTGCTTCTCCATCGCGGTTTTCAGGTCTTCTGTGTGGCACACTGCTTCTCCATCGCGGTTTTCAGCTCTTTTCCCTTCTTTGCTGAGCAACAAACTTGGTCAGTGAATCTAAATTTTCACTTGACTTTGTGTTATCTGCTTCCTCATCTTCAAGCTGCTGGGAAGGGGGTGGGTTTGGAGATTGACCTTCAGGAGTGTGTGTGGTTTGTACCTTCCTAAGAAGATAACCCACAGTAGACACTAGATGAGCATCGGGAGGAGATGGCAGAGAGGATGGCAGGGAGGAAGTGGGGTGGGGATGCTTATTGGTAGGGTGCTGTGTGCATCTCACTTTATGTTTCTCCCCAAACTTCACCAAGTGAGTGTTTTTATATCCTTAGAGCTTAGGCATCTGATGTCCCAGAGTGAGCGATATCTGGATCACCCTGTGTGGTGGGCGTGCCTATCTTCCACTGTGGAGATGGTTTTTGAGGCAACCCTCAAAGGGACCTAGAGATAATCTGAGAAAGGTTTACGTGGGAGCAGGAGAGCCTTCCCTGGTGTCAGGCATGGCCTGTTCCCCAGCAGGGTTTATGGGGCATTGGCATGAGCCAGATGCTGAGGACAGGTAACATTAGAAGCAGCTGCACAGGAAGAGTTCACAGTCTGGGGCAGAGGAACAGAAGAGATGGAGCAGCATGGAAACTGGCTTTGAAAATGCAGTGGGTATTTTGGGGCTGGAGAGATGGCTCAGCAGTTAGGGAGTACTGGCTGCTCTTGCAGAAAACCCAGGTTCAATTCCCAGCACCCACATGACCACTCAGGTTCCAGGGGAACCCAATGCCCTCTTCTACCTCCTTGGGCATTGCGCAGTACGGGTGCGCTTACATACATGTAGGCAATATACTTATATACATAAAATAATAAAATTTTTTTAAATGCAGTGGGTGTTTTGTAAGTGACCGCTTCTATGAAAAGATGAAAGTCTGAGTTCATGAAGACTTCCTAGACATGAGGTCCATCAGATCCATTGTTCTTATTAAGAAACAGTATTACTTTAGGTGAGAATATGTTGCAAGGGGTCTCCACAGCCTGTTCCCTTGAAAGCACAGCATCACATCCCTGCACAGGTCAGAGGGGACCTTTGCAGGAATTGTCTGTGTTGGGAGCCAGGCATGTAGCAGGGCATAGTGGCACATCTTTAGTCCTAGCACTCAGGAGGCAGAGGCAGATAAGCTGTGAAATTGAGGCCAGCCTTGGCTTGTCTGTATAGTGAGTTACAGGCCATCTGGGGCCACATAGTGACACTGTGTCTGAACAAAACACCAAAACAAACAAAAAGAAAACGTGTTGGTAAGCTGGAGAAGTGACGCAGTCAATAAGATACTTGCTGTGCAAGTGTGAGGACCTGAGTTCAATCACCAGCACCACATAAAACGCTGAGTGTATGGTGCATGCCTATAGTCCCAGCACAGGCCCATCCTTGAGGCTCCCTGGCCAGCCAGCTTAGCCTAATTGGCAAGCCCTAGGTCCCAGTGCGAGACCCTGTCTCAGAGAACAAGGTGGACCGCTTTCTGAGGAACACCGCCTGAGGTTGACCTCTAGCCTTCCCATGTATGTGCACACACATGTACGTGAACCTACACACATAAAAATATACACACTCCTGCATATGCATCTTATGTGCATCCATACAAACTGTTGATAAAAGCTCACCATTAACGGGTTCTCTCTTATCTGACAGGAGTCAGCGATGGCTGAAGATGGCAACGAGGAGATCATGTTCATCTGTAAGTGACCTGTGGACCTGCCTGTCTGGGGCTGGCCTGACGTCATCAAACACAGATTGGTTTGGCACTTATAGTCTAGGCAAAGCTACATCAACATTTTGTTTTTAAACCACGGAAGAACTGTTTCTTTTCAAACTGTGATTTGTTGACTTGCTTTGAGAGCCAGGGTGTGTTACCTGCATGCCTTGGGCTTCAAGTCTTCTTTGTCTTGGAACTCCTTTGGTTGGGTGGCCCTTGACGCAGAACGGGAAAGGAAAAGTGAGATTTAGGATAACAGCTTAGCATTATCGTAAATCCTGGTCTTTGTTACCATAGATGTGATAGCTGGGATTTGAAATGTGCCACAGATTGGAGCTTTTGGGGGCAGGGTCTTGTTTGGTATTCTGTGTTTTGGGGAGTCCAAGGACGGCCTGATCTTGCTTGTCCTTGTAGTGTCAGCAGATGTGTCTCATGACTGAGGATCTGCCCTAATGGGATGGAGTCCCCCCCCCCCGCCCCCGTTCCCAGGTTTGTGGTCTTTGAGTTTCTCTCTCCCCTGGACACTGTCCCTTCTGACACTCAATGTTCATTTGTAGGGTGTGAAGACTGTAGCCAGTACCATGACTCTGAGTGTCCTGAGCTGGGCCCTGTGGTCATGGTCAAGGACTCCTTTGTGCTGAGCAGGGCAAGGTGAGTGATTGCCTGAGCTGTGGTAGCAGCTGTGTCTATGAGCTGCCTGTTTGCTGTGGCCGGAGCACAGAGACCTGTATGTCTGTAGATAGGAGGAGGGAGGACAAGGGTGAGAGGCTGGGTGTGCAGGGGTGGTTTCCATCCCTTGGGGCTGGGCACTTCCTGTTGGGGTGAGCCATGTGGGTTCCAGAGAGCATTTCTTGGATGTAGTGTAGGGGCTAGCCTGGGCTGCATTGGTTTCTGCACTGAGCAAAAAAGGGCCAAACTAGGGGTCTGCTTGTTGGGCTTCTTCTGTATTCTAAGTCCAGGCCTCTGTAGACAGATGTCTATGTAAGAAGTAGGCTGGAGTGGGGTGGGGATTCCGGGCAGGTAGTCCAGGGAACAGCCAAACTGCTAGAAAAACTCTGTAGTTGTACTGAGGCAGCTCAGTGACGAGCACTGCTCTGCCGGCCCACACTCTGTGATGCAAGCCTGTGCCTGTGGCGGTCTAGGCTGAGGACCTATGAACGGCCATACGTAGCGTCAGGACTTGACCAAGTACCTCCGTCACTGAACCTCAGTTGCCTGCATGGCGTGGAGAACCTAAGTCATTCCTGTGTGGCTGTGGTGGTGCCTGGTTCAGGCTGACCCCAGCCTGGTCTACATAGCAAGTTCCAGGCCAGTTGGTGCTACAGGGAGACTCCCTCTCAAAACAACTCAAAACCCAAAGTAGAGAGCCAACCACCCCTTCTGTGGGGTTGCCCTATTGCCCACCACAATCCATCTGGGAACCTGGGGCACACCAGCCAGAGTTGCTGGCTAGCTCACCCCCATGGGGAGGGTCTGCCTCTGCTCTGGACATGTCTCCCACTGGCCTGAGCCTCACTCGTGCTGAGGTCCCAGCTCCATGACCTCCTTCTCCAGTGCCCTGCTGTTGACCTTCTAGTCCCCAGGAAGATGGGTCTGGCTCAGAGGCCCTTGGGTGGCCGTCAGTGCACAGAAGCACTTCACCATCAAGTGTCCTGTGTTCCCCTCTGTCTGCTTTCCTCTAGCCTTCCCTCAGGAGAGGGTATACATTGAGGTGGTGACTTGTCCTATTCCCCTGCCCCCCCCCCAGGACCCACACTGGGACTATGTGGTCGGCACTGTCTTGTAGGGGTTAAATGTGCCCCTTAGTGAAGGTCTGGGTCACTGCTAGCCCAGCCCCAGTCCTGTTCACATGTATGGGGAGAGCTTTGATTCTGCTGTCTTGAGAAGCGTCTCAGAAGCATGGGTCATTGGGTGTGGAGGCATGGCTCTGCTCTGGCCTGTGGGAGGGCGGCAGGGCTTCTCAGACCCTCCCTTCCACTCCCAGGTCCTCCCTCCCCTCCAACCTGGAGATCAGACGCCTGGATGATGGGGCAGAAGGCGTGTTTGCAGTAACACAGCTTGTCAAACGCACGCAGTTTGGCCCCTTTGAGTCAAGGAGGGTCGCCAAGTGGGAGAAGGAATGTGCGTTCCCCCTGAAGGTAAGGCTTCTGTGGCAGGGGCGTCAGAGCCCTTCAGAGCCCAGGGCTTCCTGACTCCCAGTGGGAGTGACCACCACTGAGTCCTGAGGATTTGGGGTTCTTTTTGTTTTTCTTTTTTTATTTTAATTTTAATTTTATGTGTATGAGTGTATTGCCTGCACGTATGTGAGTGCACCCGTGTCGTGCAATGCCTCAGAGGTCAGAAGATGACTTCGGATTCCCCTGGAACTGGAGTTAAGGATGGTTCGTGGGGGTGCTGGGAATTGAACCCGGGTCCTCTGCAAGAACAGTCAGTGCTCTTAACCACTGAGCTGTCTCTCCAGCCCCAGTGCTGAGAATTTGTAAATGCTGCTAGAGAGGTTGGATTAATTAAAACAGAAGTTTCCCTTCAGTGTGTTTTATGTCACAGGAGTGTGAGGATTAAGGTAGAATCTAGTGACATGTGAGTGTTTAGATTGTGCTGAGGGTCAGACAGGAGAGACACCCACCCCAGCTGTGAGGTCTCTGTGGCTCCTGGGCTGATGTGTATTGTACCCGTGTGTGTGAATTGCTGACTGAGCAGCAGCATGAGGTGTGGCAGCTCTACACGGCAGATCTGGCTATTTCAGACTTAGTATGTGACATCAAGGAAAGAAAATGGGGACTAGAGAGACCGCTCAGCAGTTAAGAGCACTGGCTGCTCTTGTGGGAGACCTGGGTTTGAATCACAGCACCGACATGGTGGCTAACAACCATCATAACTAGTTCCAGGGGATCTGAGGCCTCTGCAGGCATTGCGAGACACAGGCACACTTATATACATGCAGGTGTAACACTCCTACACATGAAATAAATAAAAAATAAAACAAAATGGATGTCAATAACAGAGACAGCTGAAGGTCTAAAATGAACCCCAAGAAGCCTCCTGAGGCTGAGGAGGCCCAGACCTGGGGTGAGCCTCCAGAAATAGTTGGGGCATAAACAACCAAGAGCTGGGTTGTTCCTTAGCTCCTAGGGAGGATACATGTCTCTTAAAAGATTGGAAGAGCCAGGCGTGGTGGCTTTAGTCCTAGCACTTGGGAGGCAGAGGCAGGTGGATCTCTTTGGGATCAAGGCCAGCCTGGTCTACATAGCTAGTTCCAGGCCAGCTGGAGCTACAGGGAGACCCTGTCTCAAAAAGACCAAAAAAAAAAAAAGAAAAAAAGAGGCATCTGCCTGTCTTAGGATGGACAGGTGCTGTAGCCTTCGGACTGGCCGCCTTCGGCAAATTGAGCTTCAGCTAAAGGCCAACGGGCAGGCACTGGATGGGCTTACGGGAGTGGAAGTATGAGAGTGGGAGCTAGAAGGGCTATTAAGGGATGATGGAAAGGCCCTGAGCCCAGAAAGGCATGTGTCCGGGTGTCTGTCCTCCAGGTGGTGGCTACACACCACGGTGCCAGCACGTGGTTGGAGACAGTCCTTCATGCCCACTTTGGTTTCCTTTCCTGCTAGTTCTGAAGGTTGTTTTTGGGTATCAGCTGTGTGCTCCCAAAGGAGTGTGGGAACGTGGCTTCCATACCCACTAGGGGGTTCTGGGTACCTGGTGGCCTCCCAGTCTCTCCCTGCTCTTCTGAGGGCCTGGTGCTTATTATAGGTGTCTATGCAGGAAAAGCTTGGTGGTGCGGTAGGGTCGGTGGCAAGGAAGCAGTGACCCCTCCACAGATGGGGAGCAGGCCAGACCCTGTGCCTGTGGCTAATTTGAACTTCAAGACACTACAGGCTTTGCCTGGCTCTGCCCTCGCTTAACCCTAAAGCTGAAGTGATGCTATACAGACTGGAGCAGCTCACCCAGACCCAAGGACTCTGCTAATGTCACCGTTGGAGCAGAGCCAGGAGTAAAGAGCCCAGGCATTGCAGTACCCACCTCGGGTATGGGTAGAACTAAGGGGTCCCAGTTCCCAAATGAACCAGAAGGAGAGCTCATTGTTACTGTACTGGGCTGGGGGAGAGCTCAGGGTCCCTGTGACTCCTGGACAGGAGAGCTTGGGGTCCCTGTGACACCTGGACAGGAGAGCATGGGGTCCCTGTGATGCCTGGACAGGAGAGCTCGGGGTCCCTGTGACGCCTGGACAGGAGAGCTCAGGGTCCCTGTGATGCCTGGACAGGAGAGCTGGGGTCCCTGTGACGCCTGGACAGGAGAGCATGGGGTCCCTGTGACGCCTGGACAGGAGAGCTCGGGGTCCTTGTGAGAAGAGGGGTGAGCCCAAGGTCCCTGTGATGCCTAGATAGGGGGAGATAGCATATGTTCCCATGACACCTGTACAGGAGAAAAGCTCAGGTGTCCCCATGCCCATCTGGATCACAGGCAGTCCTCAGCTGTTTCAGTGATGCGGGAGCTATCATGGTGTCCCTTACTTCCTCTTCCCTGTGACAAGCCTGACCCCTCTAAGCCACATAGTCTTCCTGTGGTCATCCTGGCCATGGTGAACACTTAGTCAGCAGGTCCCCCCACAGCCAGTGTGGCCTCTCACATGGTCCCATGCCATGCTGACAGACTGGTGGGTAACCAGCCCTCGGGCCTCCCCTCAGGTGTTCCAGAAGGATGGGCATCCCGTGTGCTTTGACACCTCCAACGAGGATGATTGCAATTGGATGATGCTGGTGCGGCCGGCGCTGGAGCCAGGGCACCAGAACCTGACAGCCTACCAGCGTGGCAGTGATGTGTACTTCACGACCTCTCGGGACATTCCCCCAGGCACTGAGCTGCGAGTGTGGTATGCTGCCTTTTATGCCAAGAAGATGGAGAAGCCCATGCTGCGGCAGGCCTGCTCCAGCATTCAGGGTACGTCCTGGTTTCTCGCTGAGGTTGGGGGCCTCTTGCTAGAGGTGCTTGCCCCTCCCCCCAATGAGTGTGCTGGGCCAGCAGCTGGGAGGGGAGGCAGTGTGGGCCGAAGCCGTGCAGTGGGGGCTGGGGCCGTGCAGTGGGGGCCGGGGCCGTGCAGTGCTTGGGCCTGAGGTGCTGCCTGCTGAGCTTCGGGTGACAGGCAGTGGCACCCTTGGCATCTCTGGACCCTTGCTGGTGAGAGGTGCTGCTTCTCGGTCTCAAGGTGATTATGCGCACTGGGCACAGCGCAGGCTGACGCACGCGGGCGCAGCACTGGGTGACCCACGCTCTGCTCTTGGGGCTCCCCCACAGCGGCCCCTCCTCCTGATGCTGTGAGGAGGCCGTTTACCCCTGTGAGTGTAAAGGTCCAGGAACAGGGCTAGAACCCCGAGCCTGGCTCCAGCGTTGCCCCCCTGTGCTAAGTAGCCGCTCCTCCCTGAGCCAGGTTCACGTGTGTGTATGTCTGTGTGCCTGTGCACAGTGTGTGTGTCTGCACAGATGCCTTGGTGTGTACAGATTCTTTAAGATGCATAGCATGTGCCCTTGTGCATTAGCAGATAGGTGAGTATGTACAGATACATATGTGTGTGTGTGCGGATGCACAGGTGTGTACATGTGTTAGTGTGTAGATGTGTAGGTAGGAACCTATCTTTGTACATATGTACAGGAGTGTGTATGTGTGCGTACAGGTGCATAGTAGTGCATGTGTTTGTGTACAAAGATGCACAGATATGTGCCTGTGCATGTGTTTGTGTGTATGTCAGATATGCAGGAGTGTGCTTGCATTTATATGTGTACATATGCTGAGGCGTATGCCTGTGTTTGTGTGTGTCCTGATCCGTGCATTTGGGCATGTGTTCAGAAAAGAGTAGTGGAGATCACGTGAGTGACCTACCTGGTCGCAGAGCTTCTTGCAGTCACAGTGGCAGGTCGCAGTGGACACTGCTTGAACCCTCAGCCCCAGGTCAGGTGCTTTGCCTTGTGGTGGTGGCTGTTGGATTCATGTTGCTCCTGCCCACACTCTGGGTCCTTTGGGTGTAGAGTCTCTTCATGAAACTTCAAGAACCCATAGGAGATGGCTGGGACTTGACACTCATTTGAAACAGCGCCACACACGGCTCAGTGGGTGCTGCCTGGCAGCCCGCCGTGCTTGTTGTCGCTCTGAAGAGTTTTAGTCATCAAGGTGGGCCCCTAACTCCACTCCTGACCTCATACAGTGATCCCTCATGAAGCTGCTTCTTCCTATGACAAGCATGGTCTTTTGGCAGGGGCTATGAGGAGTGGTTCCTAACCCTTCACAGGGACCTCACAGGGGAGGTTCCAACACAGAAGGCTCTGTTCTGTTCTGTGCTACTGCTGGTCAGTGGAGGTTTTGATGAGTGGGGATCTGGGACAGACTCCTGGTGCCACCCCCGAAAGCAGCACAGGACGAAGAGCCAATCACAGCAGTGGCTCCTCCCAGCTCTGCAGCTTGAAGACCCATGGTCACCAGAACTGGAGATCTGCCCCAGGCCTCACACTGGCCTCTGGTGGTTGACAGCAGCCCTTGTTCTTACTAATTTGTGACTCTATGTACCACCCCTCTGCCCCCACTGTCTCTGGGTCCCCTTCTTATAGGAACTCAGGCTGCTAGATTTAGTCACCCATTTAGTGTGACCTCATCTTAACTCAGTCACATCTGTGCAAGGGCCCTTCCCCAGAGTCCATGGGGCATGTGTTTGGAAGCCATGTGGGCTGGGTGAGGAATGAGGGCGTGATGAGTGTCTGGGATGATGGTGCAGATGTGGGTGCCGAGCCAGACCAAATGCACCCACCTCTTAGTTGTGGATGGTGCCAGCACATTCTTCCTGCCAGATGCTGAGGGAACTCGGACATTATGAGATTTGCGCCTTTATAGACATCCTGCAGAGAGACTGTGAGCTTTTCAGACAGTTCTTTAGATTGATAGTGGAGGGGACAGAAGGGCTTGAGAGAGGTTGGTTAGAGCCAGCCCCAAAGAAGGTTTCCTCCTGTACCTAGCTGGGCCAGCCGCCCTTTCCAGGCTGTTTGTGGCCAGCCAGACTTGGGGATGCACCCCCCTATTAGCTGTGTCTAGAGGACATTGTACCCCTCATGACTCTCAAGGTTAAAGTCCAGACCAAGGCTGAGGCTGCCGTTCTCTGTCAGGTGTCTGTCTGTCTGTCTGTCTGTCTGTCTGTCTGTCTGTCTTTTACCTGTTGGAGAAGCCTCTAAGGAGGACTGTTTGGAATTAATAGATTTAATGACTCTGTCATCCTGTGGAGTCCCCTCCTGACTTAGGATAGAGGACCCCATGTGTCCTCTCCACCACTGGGAATGGAAGGACAGGGCTGTGGTTTGCATGTGCCTTTCCAAAAGGCTCTTGTGTTGAAGGCTTTGTCTCCAGCTGGTGGGGCTGGTGGGGCTGCTGAGAAGTGACTGGACCACAAGCTTACTTCGTCCGTGGGCTATTGAGCTCACAGATGAATTGACTGTTAGGAGGGTGGGCCTGGTCGGAGGAAGTTGGTCACCCCTGGTGTGCCTTTGAAAGGTGCCTTGTCCCTAACCTTTCCTCTGCCTCTCTTTGCTTCCTGCCATGAGGTGAGCTGCTCTGCCCCACCACACCCTCCCCCCATGTTGGTCTACCTCGCCCCCATAATAGTCTGCTTCCCCACCATGGTCTACCTCCCTCCATGATGGTCTGCCTCCCTCCATGATGGTCTGCCTCCCCCCATGATGGTCTGCCTCCCTCCAGGGTGGTCTGCCTCCCCCCAGGATGCTCTGCCTCCCCCCATGATGGTCTGCCTCCCCCCATGATGGTCTGCCTCCCCCCATGATGGTCTGCCTCCCTCCAGGATGGTCTGCCTCCCCACCAGGATGGTCTGCCTCCCTTCATGATGGTCTGCGCGCGCGCGCGCGCACACACACACACACACACACACACACACACACACACCTGTCTCTGTGGCCTGGTGTTGTGGCTGTGTCATCTTTGGCCGAGATGGTTCCCTGTGGTTGGAAGTGTCAGTGGCTGGCAGTCGGCACTGTCTCCTAGGTAATGGCAGTTTGTTTTTCCTTTAGAATGCTTATCTTTCTAAGTTACCTTTTGGCAAATCCTGGCCCCTCCCTCTAGATTATACCTGGTTCTCTAGTAACAACTTTTCACTTAGAACCAGAGCAGCTTGTGGCGAGCTGGGGGTGGTTGGGGGGTGGTTCTGTGTCCTGCAGTGAATTCTCAGGTGTCCATCACTTTGTAGATGGTGGTCTACTTGAATTGGGAGGGAGTCCCGTGTCCCAAAGGCTCTTTATGGGTACTTATTTATTTATCCATTTATTTATTGGGGGGCACTGCATGCCACAGGGCACACGTGGAGGTCAGAAGACAACTTGCAGGAGTCCGTTCTTTCCTTCCACCACATGGGTCTCAGGCCACCAGGCTTGGCGTCGTCAGGCTTGGCGGCAAGCACCTTTCCTTCTCTGGCCCCCAACGGCTTCTACTTTGAAACGCTCTTCAGAACTTCCTCATGTTTGGGAACCTGAGTGAGAAAATTTGACTCTGCCTTCTGTTTGTTCCCAGTTTCCTGGGACCCTCTCACCCGCAGATTCCTGCAAAGTGACAAGAGTTGGGGAGCTGGGCTGGGACATCCGGGGAGGCTGTTCTGCAGGTCACGGGTGTCTCTGCTGTATTTGTTTTCAGTGGGACAGGTTCCACAGCACAGTGTCTGTGCTGCTTCCTTCACAGGGGCTTACAGAGCCCTAGAAGTGCTATAGGCAGGGTGGGGGTCGGGGGTGGTTGGAATGTTCTGGGACCTGTGAGAAGGTTCTTTCTAGGCAGGTTTTAGCATCCCTTTCTGTTCTTTGTGTCCTCTGAGCTAGCCTGGATGCAGAGCGAGTGTGCTCTCTCCCGGCCGGTCTGTGTAACAGCAGATCTGGGATCTAGGCTGGGATGCTTCCTTTGAGTGGCCCCAGGAGTGCTAAATTGCAAGTTGATGGAAGTGACAGGTGAGAGGGTGGGGGGATGGAGGTAGGGGATAGGGGTGGGAGAGTGGAGGGGGCGTGGCTCACTGGCCCCACAGAGATCATCAGACAGGGAGTAGAGAAACTGGTAGGACTAGATCCCAGGGCACAGGTCCCTTAGAATGGCCCCAGTGCGGATCCCAGGAGAGCATTCTGACTTTCTGATTCTACAGTCTGGAGGGTCTGCAGGGTCCCCTATATGCTTTGAGTCCATGTCCCTTTCTTTCCTCAGGCTTCTGTGTATCACCAGTGGAGGGTTAGAGGCACTGCCCAGGCAGCAGCCACTGCCCCAGGAGTGATTTAGCAAAATTGAATAAAGTTAAAACTCAACTCCCACCTAGGTAATAGGTTCCCTTGTCAAAGAGCAGTGACAGGGCACAACAGTATTATAGACAGCAGCTTGGGTTGTGCTGGGCCAGGGTCACAGCCATGCCAGGCTGGGGCACTGTGGGATGACTATTATGAGTCCCACCATCCTTTACTGTGTGAGCCACTGAAGATTTAAATATGGGTCGTGTGTGTGTCTGTGTGTCCGTGTGTGTGTCTGCCTGTGTGTGTCTTTGTGTGTGTGTGTGTTGCTGAGGATTGAACTTAGAACCTTGTGTGTGCTAGTCACTCTGCTACTGAACTACATACACACACCCCTCCCACCCACCCCCTTAACATGTTTTTAGATTTGAGACAGCCTCTCTTAAGTTGCCAGGGCTGGCCTTGAACTTGTTCCGTAGTCCAGGCAGTCCCTGGACTTTCTGTCTTCTTGCCCAGCTCCTAAGTTACACGCCTGCACCACCAGGTGCACTCAAGTATAGGTCTCGCAGACATAGGGGCTATGAAGGGCAAAGTCTGGTCCCACAATGCTGGTGTCTGGGGACAGCGCCGACCCTGGCAGGCAGCCGGGTTCCACCTCTGCTCAGTCTCCTCATCTGTAAGATGGGGATCAACTCAGTGAAAGTGTGTGAAACTGGGAACATTGCATGTGCCCTCTGCGTGTGAGCGTCCGCAATCATCCACCAAGCAGGGCAGTGTGGAGACGCAGGCCCTGCTGGCTCACCCTTCTTCTCTCTTGTGTGTTGTGGCTGCAGGTGCCCCTGAGCCCAGCGTCCCTGTGGAGCCCGAGCGTGGCCAGTGGGCGTGTAAGGTGTGTTCCAGCACTTTCCTGGAGCTGCAGCTCCTGAATGGTAAGGCGGCAAGCAGCAGGTGGGGTGGTCCTAAGCAGTTGGCACTGCAGTGCTGAGCCCCTTCATCCATGCTGGCCCTTTCCCGGGGTTGTCAGGATGCCCAGGCTTTGTCTTGTTTGCCCACAGATGAGCAACTCAGTTTTTCCCTTGGCCTGCACCTCCCTGTTGTCCCAAGTGAATTCAGCTGCCTGCTGGCTGAGCTCCAGAGTGGGGAGCAGGGACAGGGGCCAGGAGCCACCATGAGTGCAGTGTCGCCTCTTTTGCATCCTGCCTGTCTTCTGTGCCATATTGTCCCCTTTACTGTCTGTTCTCAGGACATTCTGTCACCGCAGCCTCACTAATTGAAGGTGGCCAGGGAAGATGGACTGTGTTTCCTAGTTATACAGTGCCCTGTATACAGGAGCCTCCCTGGTGGGCAGTAAAGACATCAGCCCATAAGCCATAGGGTGTGAAAGCCATGAGCTTTCCTCATGGGCAGAACACACATGGTGGCTGAGCCCTGGGCGGGCCACAGGTTTGCACTTTCAAGGATGTAAGGATGTGATAGAGACAGCTGGGGTCTGGTAGTATGGCCTGACTCCAGCTGTCATTACCTGGTCAGTGGTCGGAATGTTCTGGGACCTGTGAGAAGGTTCTTTCTAGGCAGGTTTTAGCATCAGAACAACTAATGTGAGCCTTCCAGGAGATCTTGGCCACTAGGCAGAGGCCGTCCATCGCCTTCCAGGAGATCTTGGCCACTAGGCAGAGGCCGTCCGTCGCCTTCCAGAAGATCTTGGCCGCTAGGCAGAGGCCGTCTGTCGCCTTCCAGAAGATCTTGGCCACTAGGCAGAGGCTGTCCGTCTCCTTCCAGGAGATCTTGGCCACTAGGCAGAGGCCGTCCGTCTCCTTCCAGCAGAGATCTTGGCCACTAGGCAGAGGCCGTCCCTCTCCTTCCAGGAGACATCTTGGCCACTAGGCAGAGGCCGTCCATCTCCTTCCAGGAGACATCTTGGTCACTAGGCAGAGGCCATCCATCTCCTTCCAGCAGAGATCTTGGTCACTAGGCAGAGGCCGTCCCTCTCCTTCCAGCAGAGATCTTGGCCACTAGGCAGAGGCCGTCCGTCTCCTTCCAGGAGATCTTGGCCACTAGGTAGAGGCCATCCGTCTCCTTCCAGCAGAGATCTTGGTCACTAGGCAGAGGCCATCCATCTCCTTCCAGGAGACATCTTGGTCACTAGGCAGAGGCCATCCATCTCCTTCCAGCAGAGATCTTGGTCACTAGGCAGAGGCCGTCCCTCTCCTTCCAGCAGAGATCTTGGCCACTAGGCAGAGGCCGTCCGTCTCCTTCCAGGAGATCTTGGCCACTAGGTAGAGGCCATCCGTCTCCTTCCAGCAGAGATCTTGGTCACTAGGCAGAGGCCATCCATCTCCTTCCAGCAGAGATCTTGGTCACTAGGCAGAGGCCATCCATCTCCTTCCAGCAGAGATCTTGGTCACTAGGCAGAGGCTGTCTATCTCTTAAGGATGGGTGAGTCTGACTGTTGTTGGCTGTCCTTGTGCTGCTGGGATGTCTTCTAATCTTGTCATTGACACATCTTGCACTCAGCCTAGGGCCAAAAGTCACCTGTGTTGTCAACAAAGCAGGAACAGCACAGCAGCTGCCAAGTTTCTTAGGAGTGCTGGGTTGTGAAGAACTCACTCTTAGGCAGGGACTGGGCCCCGACGTGGAAACCAGCAAGCATACAGGGACCTCACATAAAATATGGTCACTCAGCCTGGATAAAGAAACACTGTTTGTGGGGGCTGGGGAGGTGGCTCTGCGGTTAAGCTGCTCTTCCAGAGGACTCAGGTTCGACTCCCAGCACCCACATGGCCGCTAACAACCATCTGTAACTCCAGTTCTAAGGGATCCAACACCTTCTTTTGACATTGCATGATATGGGTACACTTACAAACATGCAGGCAAAACACTCATACACATCAACTAAAAATAAATCCAGACTTTTTTAAAAAAAAAGAAACACTGTTTGTTTAGGAATTTTCCTTGGTGACAGTTTTCAATCAATGAAAGCAAACATCCCTTCACTTGGCGGTGAAGCTAGGCCAGTGTTCCCAGATACCAGCTCAGGGAAAGTCCTCTTAGCAAGAAACCTCACAGTAGCCTCTGTACAGACATTTTTGGGATGAACAGGCTGAGGCTGCAGTGAATAGCTCATCTGCCCAGACTGTGTGGTTGCATGTGCCAAAGCCACATCTGATGTAGGCAGCCCTGCCCAACCCTCTCCGGACCCCCACTACCCCCCTAACTGCCCCAAGGGGTCAAGGAGTTCTTTCTGCTACAGCCCGTGCCTGGGGCCTCATGGATAGCCCGATAGCCAAGGAGCTAAAGGAGTTGGGCAGATCTGAGCAGAAGAGGAGACTTACAGAGCTGCGTTCCTAGGACACTGGCTGCAGGGCAGAGGGGCCTGGTGCCCTCCACAGACTGGCTCTGAGGACTTCTGAAAGCCAAGTGACACACCTAGTGAGTCCAAGTCCACGGAGGGTGATGCTGGGTCCAACCGGAAAGTGTGACTTCGTGATGCCCCATCCCAGCCGTGATCACATGGTGCCTGCACCCGTTCTCTACAGGACCTTCTTCAGAGGCTTGCCTGGCACAGGAAGGCATGGCTCTACTGTTTGAGATCCAGCTTGCCATGCCTGCCGTCTCTGCCGCTGGCTGACTTCTAAACCAGATGAGTCCCTTGAACTTCCCTTCTTCTTTTATGCCTTGATTCAGCTTAGCACCTGTGTGTTTTGAAGTTGGGGGCTGCCGTGAGAGCACCAGGAGACCAGCTGAGGCTGTTCAATGGCATGGGGACGTGTGGGTTGTTGTTCTTGGCCTTTCCCTGAGGTTGTCACTTCCCCGTGTTCCCTTGGGGAGCTCTGCTCATTTCCCAGGAGGCCACTCAGGGACGTCTGAGTAACCGTTAGGCCACAGTGAGTGCGCTGGCCTCTGTGTCCTGGAATTCCATTCCACTGAAATGCAAAGACAGAAGAACAGAGAAGCACAGAGCATCTCGCAAGGTTGGAAAGTGTCTGCAGAGGCAGTGACCACCAAGCTGGCCTCAGAAGCTGAAGCCAGCAGTGGAGCAGCCAGGAAATGTGTCTGCTCCTGCAGAGCTTGGGAGTGCCAGGGGTCTGGGGAGAGGAACAGAGACAGGTGGCCAGCTGCAGTTCTGCGGGAAGTCCTCAGAGCCCTGGCCTCCTGTCTGCCCCTCCCCCAGCTGCATCTCAGCTTCCATCAGCAGAATGCTGGGCCCACACTTGGGAGAGATTTGACTAGAGATCCTCCCCGGCTCTGAGGACGGGGACTTGAGTCATGTGTTAGAATGTGGGCAGCTTTGGCCTCCTTCAGTCTTCCATGCAGAGTGGTGAGGCCAGCTTAGGCTCCCGGGAGGAAGGAGGGGTTTCTCTGAAGAAGCTAACCTATTCAGAAGGAGAGACCAAGAACCCACCAGTAGACCGCTCACCCTCTGGCCGTCCTGCAGAGTGGGCTCCAGATGCTGGAGGAAAGCCAAACGTGAGCAAGAAACCAACTGGCCGCACAGCTTGCCAGCGGAATCCGAAAAGCAAACTCACAAAAAGCCCCTCTCACAGGCGGGAGGCGGTAGGGAGGCTCTGCGCCCTTCGGACACGGCAGGTGGGAGGACAGCAGCTAACCAGAGGGTGTCAGAACACTGAGGGAACTGAGAGACTATTCCAGAAGGAGCCCATGGAGGATACAAACAGAAGAGATAAGGAGATGGTGAGGGGGGTCCTGAGACCCTGCAGGTGGCCAGGAGGGTTCTGCAGGGAGAAGAGAAGCAGAGGGAGGACGAACCAGGCAGTACTGAGGGGCAGCTCAGGTGGTAAAGTGCTTGCCTAGCAGGCACGAAGCCCTGCCATTGATCCTCAGCATCGCCAAAGCCAGGCGCCGTGGCCTGCAGCCCCAGCACTTCAGACAGTCAGGAGGGCAGGGTTATTCTGCTTGCTACATAGTGAGTTTGCAGGTAGCCTGGGCTACACAAGACCCAGTCTCAAAGCCAAGCCAGTCAACCAACGAGAGAGAGAGAGAGAGAGAGAGAGAGAATGTGTGAGTCATCCAGGAGACGCTGAAGGATGCAAATTTCTAACCTGGAAGGGCCCAACAAGTCACCAGCATAATGAACCACAGAGACTCAGCTGCCTCGTCATGGATGTAATCATAGGATTCAGAGAAAAGCAAGCTATCAGAGGGTGATGTGGCAGGCGACACATGACCTGGGAATGACATCATCCTCTCCTGGCCTCATCTGGGACTTTTTACCCGGCCAGGTCCTCTTCCCATGGGAGGGACCACTCAGGGTGTGCTCAGGCAGGCTCAGACCTCATGCCATTTGTCATGGAAGCTGCCAGAAGGCGGGCCACAGGAAACGCAGGTCTGTCAAGGCAGGAAAGCAGGCCTACTGTCAGGTTCTGCAGTCAAACAGCATAGTGAAGGTCCAGAAATTTCCAAGAAGGGCCAGAGAATCGACCGAGGAGAGCCCTGGAGCGCACAGACTGTCAACGCCATAGAGACATCACCACCCAGACTCACACCAGAGTCCAGAGTCCAAACTCACCCAGCTTCTGAGATCTCAGTACCTCTGTGGAGTTGCCAGGAAACATGCTTCTAGCTGTCTGCGTCCTTGGGCTGCTCAGCATGAGGGAGCCTTCTGTTGAAGGCAACATCAGACAAAAGACAGCACATGTCAGGATGTTTCACAGTGCTGTCTACACAAAGCACAACACATAGTCTGCATGTAGGGGGTGGGAAGAGGGTCCTCTGTAGGGAATAGGCAGAGGGTACTAGGTCCCTGGTCCAAAGGCTCCTGGAAGGATGGATGCTACAGTGAAAGAAATCAGGAGGATAGTGATGTGTTTGACTGCAGGGATTATAGCCATTAGTAGCATACATGGGAAGGGGAGCAGCCGGTTGGGGTGAGGCAGTAGTTAACCCCAAGAGCACTAGCCAGAGCCCATGT